CAGCAGCACAAGTGCCTGCCTGAAAAGTATGACGTTGTGAGTTCGATCCCTGGTCCCAAAATAAATAAATAAAGGCTGAATGGCCATGGCTTACATGCAAACCATAGGATCACTGTTTCCAATGAAGAAGGTCATGCTTCTAGAAATCCTCCACGTATGATCTCTGTGATCACACATGCAGCCCTGGAAAGACTGCCTTTATTTTTTACACACTTTACTCAGAAGCCAAGTCAGGGACTCTGCTGGAAAAAAGACTTAAACAGAGAATCTTTCTTCATTGAGGAAATGTTTTGGGGAATATAATCACATAAGTAGATTTCTTCAAACAATATTACCTTTTCCCTTTAGAGCTAGTTCCGGGCTGGGGATCTAGCTCAGTGGCATAAGCGTCTACCTTGCCAGTGTGTAGTCATGAGTTCGACCCCTGGTACCAATAAAAAAAGACGAAAAAAAAAAAAAAATCATCTACACACAAGACTTTGGAAAGATCTAAAGTGCTATAGAGCTAGTTCCATAATAAAAGATCCAGATTTCCACCAAAAGAGAAAAAAAGAATATTTACTATGCAGAAGCAACAAAAACCCTCAATCTAAGCCCATCCACCTTTATGCCACCAGGATAGCCAGGCTGCAGCTCCAAGTATGCCATTGAGCAGTTGCTCTTGTGCCCATGAATCTCTCACAGCCACAGCTGACAGCTCCGGTCTGCAGAAACAGCAGATTTCCAGTCAACAGGTGGACTCCAAAAGCTCTGCAGTGAAAAGCAACCAGGCTGTGCTTTGGAGTATGAAGATAAGAAGTCCACATTCTTTTGCCAGCTACAACCCTGTAGTAAACCTTTCTTATCTTAACACCTGTGCAGCATTTTTACAACAGCAGTCCTGCAGCCAGAGAAAGGCAGCATCCAAGTACCTTCTTCTGCACTATGTAAGGAGCACAGAGATGAAGACAGAAGAGCAGAAGTACTGCAAAGACAGTAGCAGACTCAGCGAAGTCACCTGCAGCAGCACAAACAATCTCAGAACTGTCAAGATGAGAAATCATTCCAAAAGCTGCTGCCAAAGGACCAGAGTCCTAAGAATCTAGGAGAGCAGGGGCTTTCACTGTCTCCTCAGATGCAGCTGCAGGGTCAGTTTCCTCAAACTTATGGAAAGGCCCTGCTCTCCCAGCTGCACAGAAGTGCTGCCCCCGCTCAAAGGTAACAAGAGCATCCCCTAAACAATAACAGCTGCAAAGTCTGAAGTAACTTCTTCCAGAAAGTGCATGACCTGCTCACAACTATGTCCCTCAGAGCCCAAATAGCCAACAGAAAGCACCACAGTATCAAAAAGCCCACACCAGCTGCTTTTGAATTTTGGGAAAATACAACTAGGTCATAACATATCCTCTTTTTTTTTTTTTTTTTTTGTTAATGGAGATTAAACCTAGAGTGTTTGCATTCCACTACATCCCAGCCCACTTTTCAAATTTTGTATGTCAAGACACGATCCTGTTATATTGCATAGGCTGAGCTCAAACTTGCAAACTTTCTGTCTCAGCCTTCCTGACAGCTGAAACTGCAGGCATGTACCACCATGCTGGGCAGATACGCACATTTTTTAAAAGTTTCTTCTTTTTTTTTTTTTTAATCAGTACCGGGGATTGAACTCATGACCACGCGCTTGCAAGGCAGGCACTTATGCCGCTGAGCTAAATCCCCAGCCCCCAATATGCACATTTTTTTTTTTTTTTTTGTCTTTTTCCTTTTTATCGGTACTGAGGATTGAACTCACGACTGCCTGCTTGCAAGGCAGGCGCTTATGCCGCTGAGCTAAATCCCCAGTCCCTAATTTTTTTTTAATATGCACATTTTTTATGTATCAGTTTTTTTTTTTTAACGGAATCAGAGATCGAACTCAGGACCACGCACTTGCAATATGTATCAGTGTTGAAAGTAAAAAAGATTTTCACATCTATGTTAACAAGTAAGATTGGCTTCATTTATTCCTTTATTAAATGTTTGAAATTTGGCAGGGATGGTGATGTATACCAGTAATCCCAGCACTCAGGAAGCTGACACAGGAAGATTGCCATGAGTCTGAAACCAACCCAGGCTACATAGTGAGTTCAACATAGGCTATATAGTTTAAGACAGGGTCTCATTGTGACATCCTGTCTAAAAAAAACTTTAAAAATTTTGAAAATTGAACTTGTGGTCTGACATTGTATTTTATGGGGAAACTTGTTGACTCCCAATCCCATACCTTAAATGTTGTTGCAGTTTAGATTTACAATGTCCCCCAAAAGTCTCATGTGTTCAGAGGTGTGGTTTTCACAAGGTGATTGGATCATGAAGTGTTCCTTCATCAATGAATGAGTCTACTGATGAGTATAGATCTGCATGGGCTATGAGGCGGTGTGGCCAGTTGGAGGTGGTGGTCACTGGGCACCCCTCTCCCTCTGGCTCTCCTCATCCTCTCTGCCACCAGCCAACATGAGGTAGCTAAGCCTTTCTCCGTTGTGGTGCTCTGCCTTTGTAGCTGGAACCTCTGAACCATCCTGAGCCAAAATAAATCCTTCCTAACTTTAAGTTGTATATATCAGGCATTTTTAACATTTCTCTTTAGATCAGTTTTGGGAAATTGAACTTTTCTAAGAATATATCAATTTCATCTAGATTTTCAAATGTATTGTTGTAAAAGAGTGTCCAAAAATTCTTTCTTCTTGGGGCTGGAGATTTAGCTCAGCGGCATAAACGCCTGCTTTGCAAGCAGGCAGTTGTGAGTTCGATCCCCGGTACCGATAAAAAGAAAAAATTCATTCTTCTTGCAGCATACATAGCGGTGCAATTTTTCATGTTTTATATTTGAGATGGGATGTTGCCATAGAGCCAAGGATGGCCTTGAACACTTCTGCTACTTCAGCCTCCCAAGTACTGTTTTTTTTTTTTTATATATATTTGTACTTTTTATGAGCTTTCTTTTTAAAAGCCTGTTTATAGATCTCTGCCTGTTTAAAATGTCTTTCCTAGATACCCATGTGTATCTCTATGGAGATAAGAGTCCAAATACATGTCTGATTATGAATAACCTACAGTTAGTCCAAGTATGGCTGTGAAATCTCAACTAAACCAAACTATAAGTTAGAACCAGGGACACTGAGCACAGTGGAGCATGTCTGTAATCCCAGCACTTGGGAAGCTGAGGAAGGAGGATCACTACAAGTTCAGGCCAACCTAGGCTATATGATTTCAAGGCTAGCCTGAACTGCATAGTGAAACCCTGTCTCAAAAACCAAAACAAAATAGATATTGAGCTAGTCTATAGAAGACCTATAGGGGGCATTCAGTCTCTCCATACCAGAGGTACTGATCAGTCCTAGCCTGTCTCTTTTGCTCTCAGTAGGGCTATGCTAGCCAACCCAGGGTGACTCAGGACTGTGCCCTGCCTTCCCAAGACCAGCTCTGTGCACTGATGAGGTGTAGGTCATCCTGGCCCCTTCTCTTGGGCCCTCTAGAAGACACTGGGTCCCTGGTTTTGGGCACTCAGAACACTCAGAAAGGAGATGGTGGAGCTATCCATAGTCATCTCGCTGAGAGAAATAAACCCTCTCTTCTAGGAGCGTCTCATCTATACTCCCATCTGGAAAAGTCTACGTGCAGGTAGGAGCCAGCTCAGCAGTATTGGACAGTCTGGGTCCAGAGCTGACAACAGCATCTGCTGTAGACAGAAAATGGAGCTGAATGCGGGCTGGAGCCAGACATACTCTCTGAATGGTTCTTCCAGGCACATTTGGGCATAGAATGTGCTGAGCTGCTGTCAAACATCAGGATTTTTCTCTTCACCCACAGGACCCTGTTTCAATTGTATCAGTGAGTCAGGAACTGAATCTTTTATTTGGCTACTGAGTGTGCTTCTGCCCTAGGTGGCCCACCTATAGCCAAACAGTCTTATATTCATGTTTCATAGCCAGAAGCTTGGAGCTCATTAACATTCCTTCCCCTTCATCAGCAATGTGTCCACCAGGAGCTTAGTGACATGCGACACTATCCTGGCATATCTGTTTACTCTTTAGGGTGGACACACTGGCCATTTTTCTCTTGCTATCCAAGAGCTGCTCCTGGCCATATGGGAAGCCTGGCTGCTGGAACTGCTATGGTACTTGGGGTGTCAATGACCAGACTGCCCTGTTCAAAGTGGACCACTTTCCAGAAGCCATGCAAGTTGAGCTGCCCCACAAAGCTGGCCCTGTTGTGCTTACAGTACTTGCAGTACAGCATCTCCTTGGCAAACTGGCTCAGCCCAAATGTGGAAGTTATTCCTATACAGGCTCCAGCAGATAAGAATGTCAGTGTGTACTCTGGGTCACTTGTGAGGGTACACATTTGACTCACCCAATGATTTCAAAATGTACCTAGCAAGGAAGTAAGACAAGGCAAGGAAGTCTACATGGGGTCATTCTTCATATTACCACTGTGAACAACCATCCTTGATTCTGCAGGGAACTCCTAAACCATAAAAAATGTCATGGAAAGCACTGTCCCACTCAAGGACAACATCAAATATCCAGTTGTGGTTTCTTCAGTCAGCAGGGAAGCTGGGTATGCATCCTCTAATCACCATTGGCCACTAGCTTTAGGCTGCTCCCAGGAGTATTAATGCCACAGTACTTTAAGCAAAAAGAAAGCCTCAAGCAGGCACTGACAAGAACATAGTGGGTAGCCATGCTGGGACATTTAGTGTCCAAGGGGAAAGGGTCGGGTTCTGCTACTTGCTACACCTGCTGGTTTCTGACTGGCTTCTCTCCCTTTTGGTTCTCAGTAGTTCCTCGGATTTTGCCAATCATCAGAATTCTGATACAGATTTTTTCTTTACTCCATCCAGAAGAACAGCATCTTTTTATTGTTTTTTTTTTGTTCTAAAATGGAATTTGGTTGTTTCAGATTACCAACAGTCAAAAGGATTAATTCCTTTATGGCTTTTTTAAAGGTTTGTGTATAGAATGAAAGAAAACACCTGTTGATGAGATTCAAAGTTTTATTTATTTTCAAAAATGAAAACAACGAAGAACCAATCTGTGGATTTTTAAATCTAACACAATCTTTAGCACAAAGCTATATGCTCAATAAATTTTTAAAAACCACATTACTAAAAAAAAATTATTGTTAATAGAGATAATACTTCAGACTCCAGGGTTCTGTCTGTGTTTGAAACAAAACTGAATGTTAGGTAAAGAAACATAGAGACTAACAAGGACCCCAAATATTAAGTTAGCAAAGCAAATATGAGATTTTCAAAGCACTCCAGAAATTTAGAGCTCGCTGGGGAATGGAATGGTTTTAGACAATCTATGTTCAAGGTCTTGAAATTACAAATTTCCATATTTCTAGATCCTTGGTTTTGTATCTACTATAATCTGACAGACTTCTAGCAAAGGATAGGAGGTTCTTTACTTAAGATGTGTGAAAAGACCTATGGTCCTGGTTTTCCTCCTTTGATTCTGTCACTAACAGTGGGGCTTCCATTTCAGCAAAGGATTACTACTTAATAGCTCGGCTTCTCCGGTTCACATTTTTCTTTCATAAACACACTGATGCTTGAGAGTTCTAAATATATTCAACTTTTTTTACTTTTATCCTCCCAATAACTCGGCTTGGCTACAAAATCTGAGACTAACAGAATGATAGCAGCATTGGTCAGAAGATAAGCATCAGTTTCGGTGTGAGGGCTTTATAAAGTTCAATGGTCACAACTATTCATCTGCCATGATTTTTTTCTTTTTTCATTATCTTGCTAATTATTTCTTTCGAAATTCAATCCTCCGAGCTACATTTTGAGCACCAAATTTTTTGACTAATGCATCTCTGGTAGCTTCATCATCTTTTTGCAAATCTAAGTCATCTTGCCGGGACCAAATCGGGTATCCATCCGCTCTGCGACCAGACTCTAAAAAGGAGGAAGTAGCCTCCAACTCACCACTATTTTTAAGAAAGGCCTGTGTAACTGTTGATAGGTCCAAGTTAAACTTTTCCATTAATTGCCGGATAATCTTAATGGCAGCTCCCACCTCTGCTGAAGAAAGTTTTTCTTCTTCCTCCTCATCAAGCTGTGTTTCTGAGTCTTCTTCTGGTGTGGGGGGATCATCATCACACATAGTTAGGTGTATTTCAAAATCAGAGCTCTCATTCACCTACAGAAAATAATGAGACCAGTTCCTAATTACCAAATCTTTTTTTTGCTTTTTTGAGACAGGGTTTCACTATGCAGTTCAGGCTCATCTTGAACTTGTAGCAATTCTCCTGCCTAAGCCTCCTGAGTGCTAGAATTACAGGTGTGCACCACCACTCCCAGCCAATTACCAAATCTTGAATGCTTATATCTGGAATCTCCCAACTACCGTCTTTGTACTCCAATCACACTGGACTCCCTTTAGGTCCTTTAACATGTTATGTTACTCCTTACATTTATTCCCGTTGGAATGTGTGTATGTGGGAGGGTGGGGGGATATGTATATATGTGTACATGTATATATGTGTACATGTATATATAAAACTGATTACTGCATTTTTTATGACTATGGTATTTTAACAGATTAGAAGCTAAAATGAATATGAAAAGCATTGATACATGTAAATATGTAGATACACACATTTATATATTCATGTGTGTTCATTAGATCATTATTAAATGTTTGATTTCATTCTCTGATTGTAACACTCCATAAGGGAACTGAAGAGGAGGTAAAATATTCCCAAAAACTCTAAGTACACAAAAAACTAAACTGGTCTATAAAAGAAAAAGTACTACAAATATTTTTAAATTACATTCAGGCTCCTGAGAAAGATAAATATCTTTTTAAAAGATAAATTCACAGTTCTAACTTTGAAAAGCCTATACTGAGATCAGTGTGCCCCCACAGAGGAACATTTTATACTGCTCAAACATAACTGTTTCTGTTCTGCCTGATTTTTCTCCCTTTCTCCTTCAGGTTGTCCAGCCACAACTAAAAGCTTTAGGGTACCACACCTAAACCCCCATCAGTTCTACTTTCCCTTTTCCTCTAGTTCTATTCTCTTTATCTCTATCTTGAATTTTTTTCTTACCTTTCTGGGTTTCAGGTGAGTGAAAAAGATGGACAGGATAACCAGTTCCAGGGAAAATGGAAGCAGGGAAAAAAATTGGAGTAAATCTAGTTAACATACCACAACTTCCTCAAAGTCCCGGGTGGTTTCTACAAGGATTTTTTTAACTGTTTCTTCATTTTCCCCAATCTCTTCCTTCACGTGTTCTTCTTCAGGCAAGTCTGGAGTTCTCTTATTCTGTGGTTCTATTAAAAAGAATAGCCTAGATTAGCTTCTTTTGCACAAATCAAAAGATACTATTTGTGCTGGGCCAGGAAGAAGCCTGTACAGTTTTTTTTTTTACTTGAAGACATGTTTTTGATTCAGAAGAGTAAAAATAGCATAAAACACACAGGTCCACTAATTTCATTTGTTCCCAGAGAGTGGTACTAATTAAATAGTGATAAAATCCCTATACTCTGACATATAAAATTCTCTTCAAGCTTAATTCTTTTTTTTTTTTTTTGTATTTACAGGTGGAAATTAACAAAAATGCATCATATATTTGATTCTCTCAGAAACAGATTATGAGGTGGAGATCAGTATTTAAAAGAGTGTATTAGGGAGTAATCTTAGAAAAACACTTGTAGAAGAGAAGAAAAGCAGTGAGAAGTTGAACTGGAAAAGCGTTTCTACAATGAATATGAAGATAACAATTTTTTAAGTTATTTCAATAAGGCTTTAGCCAAAGCCACAGGGAATTTTAGAGCTAGGAAGGCCTTTCAGAGTTGACTAAGTTGGAGTAATTAAACACCACCTTAAAAATTCACATAGGTCAGTCTACAGGATGCTGGCAATCCTAAGATAGGACTTTGGGCAAGGCAAGTCTCCCAGCAGCTGAAAGTGGACTGGGGTGGTGTACCACAATTACTACATATCATCTGTGAAAACAAAGGCTTCCTAAATTTACACATTCTTTGTCCTCTTTACATTCTGTTCTCTGAGAATGTAACTCTGCTCCCTAATTACTAAATTTTACTATAAGGGAATAGCAAGAGAAAGTGTTTTTATGTGATGGAACTGTTTTACATCCTGATTTGGTGGTGGTCACACAAAATCTGTTTGTGTTAAAGCACAGACAGACTGGAAAACAGTCAAGCAAAAAATTCAACATAAAATTACCATGTGTCTAGCAATTACACTTCTGAGTATACGTGTAGAACTGAAAGCAGAATCCCAAACAAATATTAGTATACCCATGTTCACAGCAGCAGTATTCACAACAGGCAAATGATGAAACAACCCAGACATCCACTGACGGATGAACAAAGTATATTGCATATGTACAATGGAATATCATTCATTCTTCCAACAGAATAAAATTGTGACACATGTTACAACATGGATGAAACGTCAAAACATTAGGCTAAGTGAAATAGCCAAATACAGAAGGACAAATATATTATTCTACTTCTAAGGTATCTAGAAATAAAATTCATTAAAAAAAAAAAAAAAAAAAAGGTGAGTATATTTTTGCACTCCTATAATCCCAGCACTGGGGAAGCTAACCCAGGAAGCTCAAGACTCCTCTCTCCTAATCCAAACTACACATCAAGTAAGTTCCAGACTAGGTTGAACTACAAGAGACCCTGACTAAAAAAACAAGACAAAACACAGAGATGTTGCCAGGGGTTGAGAAGAAGGAAGAGTTACTGTTTAGTAGGTACAGAGCTTCAGCTTTGGAAGATGAGTAAGTTCTAGACAAGTATAATGGTAATGGGTGCATCTATACTTAATGTTACCAAAAAACTTTTAAACAGTTAAAATAATAATTTTTAAATTTTATATTACATATATTTTACCATAAATTTTTAAAACACATTTAATTGTATACAAAGTTTCAATTTTACTGCACATAAATTTAAAATATATTAACTAAAAAAGACATCCTTTTTTTGAAAGGCTAATCTTTTAGACACATATTAAAGTAGTTAAAATGATACAATATGATAAAATATCAAATATAATAAGTTATGTAAAATATAAAATAAAGTATGATAAAATCAATTAATATGTCTGGCATTTACTTTAAAATAATCCAAGAAGTTAGGATCAAGGATATAGATTAAAAAAAAACTGGTCATGAACTATATGCAGTTAAGTTGGGTGACAGATACATGTGGTATAGTTTACTATGTTACTCTAGTTTTATAAATGTTCAAAATTTTTTCTAATAAAAATAAAGCTGGGAGTAGAGACGTGCTTAGCATGTGCAAAGACCTGGGTTCTAGCTTATCTTTAGCACCAAAAACAAAAAAAAGTAAACAAATTAGGGTTCATTTACATAATGGAGTATTATGCAGTTGATGAAAAAAGAATACAGGGGGCTGGGTATTTAGCCCAGAGGCATAAGCTCCTGCCTTGCAAGCACAAGGTCATATGTTCCATGGGGGGGGGGGGGGGACGACTTTAGACCAGGTGTGGTGGCACTTATAATCTTAGCACTTGGGAGACTGAAGCTGTAAGATTGCCCCAAGCACAAGGCCAGCCTAGGGTACATAGTGAATTCAAAGACAACATAAACTACATAGGGAGACCATATCTCAAACAAAGTAAATAAACATTAAAAAAATATAAAAGCAAAACTCTCTATGATGACCTGCTTCACCACACACATAGCCCTGACCTCCACTGCTATAATTCTCTTTCTTACTGCATCCCAGCCATACTGTTCTCTGTGACTCCATGAAGCTAGCCATACTCCAACCTCAAGGCCTTTCCCTTGCTATACCTTTGGTCTGAAATTCTCTTCCCTAGATATCCAGCTGGGCTGCTCTTTCACTTCCTTTGGTCTCTGCTCATGCACCCATTTATCAGTGACCTTCTCTTATTATTCAACAAAAAAAATGTTCTGCCCAACTCTTACATTTACCTTGATTTATTCTTCTTTATAACACTTAACAGCTAGCATGTTAAGCTCCATGGCCGCAGGGACTTTTATTTATTGTTACACTCCAGCAGGAGAACAGTGTCATGCATTCAAATATCCGCTGAGTGAATGAATCTGAAATGTCAGTTTTACCAAAAATTCCTTCTAAGCATTCCAGGAAGGAGAAAGAGACTTTTTTTTTACCGGTACCTGGGATCGAACTCATGATCACCTCCCCAGACTTTCACTGTTAAACGGAACAGTCAAATAAGCAAAGAAATGGGGCTGGGGAAAGTACATCTATTTTTTAAAAATTAAGTTTACTGGTGCATTTTATAAGTATTTAATGATCATATTCACCACAGGGAATTTGTACGTGTGATATATCTTGATTCTTTCTTCCCATTCCCCTACCCTCCCTTCAACCCCTCTAATAAGCAGCTTTTTAAAAAAGTTTGTCATTTAAGCCGTCAATACGAGCTTAAATAAAACAAAACATCTTAATAGCTTTGCAAGGTGTCCTAACAATAACTGAATTCCTACTTGCAACTCAACTGCACTAATAAAGGTACATCAATTTTCCTACACTGTACAGTGTGTGTGTACCTTGAAAACAAGGTTGCCGGGTGTGCTGCCACAGGCCTGTAATCCCAGCACTGGAGAAGCTGAGGCAGGGAGATCACCATGAGTTCAAGACCTGCTTGGGCTACAGAGTTCATGGCCAACCTGAACTACACAGCTGATTCGCTGTCTCAGAAACACACGCACACAAAACAGTCGGTATGGTAAATAAAACTTGAGTGGGGAAAAAAAAAAAAAAAGGCAGCGAAGTTGAACAGAAAGTGGCGCAGCGCGAGCCCGTTGTCAACAAGTGGGCGGGGCCGAGCGGTGCGGCCAGAAACCTAGGGAACCTGGCCCGGCCCGAGACCCGCCCCGCCGGCCTCACCCCCGCTGTCCGCAGCCTCGGGGTCCTGCTCCGCCTTCCTCTTGAGCTTCTGCGAGGAGGGGCTCACGGGCGCCTCTCCCAGCAGGTACTTGTGCTCCTGGCCGCGCAGGTGCTTGAGGTAGCGGTCCTTCATGGACTGCCACGAGTGCTGCGTGAGCGCGCCCTTCTCCATGGCTTTCCACAGCGCGTTGCCCGTGACTGAGCTGGGCGAGCGCGCGTGCTCCTTCACGTAGGTCAGGATGGCCACGTCGTCCGCATCCGTGAAGGCGACCCGTCCGCTGGGCGGCTGCGGCTCGGCCTCCGGGGCGCCCTCGCCCGAGGCTCCGGCCCTGCACTCCGGCGCCTGTTCGCCCGCCGAGGTCGCGCCCAGCCGGTAGGCCTCCAGATCCAGCCTCTCGTTGCGCTCCACGCAGTCCAGGATATACTGTGTGGAGATGAAGTCGCCCGAGGCCTCGGCCAGCGCTTCCCCGGGCTGGGCCAGCAGCACTGCCCCGGGCTCCTGCACCCGGCACACGGTGCCGCCGCCATGCAGGATCAGCGTCGAGAGCCGGCGCTTGATCGGGCTGGGCCGCACGTAGAACGACAGAGGGTTCCCGTCTGCTCTCACGAACAGAGTGGAGGAGTGGGTGGGCCCGTTGGGGTCTTTACCCATCTCCAACGCCTCCGCCATGTCTGACACCCAACACCACCACAGCCGCGCCGGGAAGAACGCTTCCAAGTGAGCTCACTGGTGAGAGCTGCGGGGACAGAATCCAAACTCAGCACTGCGCCTGCGCGCCAGAAAAATGCCCGCCCTCTGTCCCGGAAGAGGCGGGGCTTCGGCCTTAACCTGGAAGTGGTCGTGCTACTGTAGGCACTTTTACATTGGGCGGTTCGGAAGATGGCTACAGTGCAAGCGGCTGAGGTGAAGGTGGACGGCGAGCCGAAACTGAGCAAAAAGTAAGTGTCTTTGTGAGTCATTAAGTGTTTATGGTTTTAAAGTCCAGGCTGGGAAGTGCTTTGAACCTTATGCCAAGGTCGAGGGCCAGTCTGCCTGCTCTCCTTGGGTGCGCACATGTGCATACGTAGCCGCTGAGCAGAGGAACTACGTCCCCACCGAGGGACGCCCCTCATCTTACTGCTGCAGTCGGAAATGCAGGCAAGAACCCGGCGGGTAGACTGGGAGGTGACTGGAAAGAAAAGTGAAACTTCTTACCCTCCCTCGCTCCCTTCCTCTGAAAGGTGCATTCCTTTATTACGGAGCACTCCCCAGTGGAGAAATTAGAGCAAAGCCAAATACCTTTGCAGAAAGACCTTCAAAATTGCCCTGGCTTCCCCAGGATCATCATGAGCCTTATATATTTAAAGCAATCAGTTCTAAAACTGTGTCGTGAACCTACCTCCTCGTATGGATTGTCTAAAAGATCTGTGAGAAGTGAGTGATCGTTGTCTAATAGTGGAGACCGTCGTACACCCCAACCTGCCGGTAGCCCTGCCAGATGTTTCTTTGTTAACCATCCCAAATCCTTGGAAGTGTGTAGGCGAGCATAGATAAGATCAGTCACCCTTTACTGACTATCTCTTCTCTAAATACCACACTGCTCGAACGTGGTTTCTCATGTGAGCCACAGAACACAGTGGTTTGAGTATTTCCTCGGTGCTCCAAAAAGAGACATAATTAGTACCACTCCAGAGGCACAGGAGAAATTAAATCATTACTGTCATGCTGCTTTAGTTCATAAAGGCGTGATCCTCCTGCTGAACGCAGGGATAAGAGGTGATTTTTGCCTTTTGTGTCTCTTAAGTTTATACTTGGTGTATTTTAGAAAAGTTACAAGAGAAATGACTAAATTTATGGTTTGCTAGAATTCTAATATGTTATCCATCATTTTGGAGATCTGATGGGTTTTCTCCAAATGTCAGGAACACTTTTTTCGGTTTTTTGAGACAATCTCAGCTATGAAATTCAGGCTTACCTTGAACTCATAATGGTACTCCTGCCTCAGCCTCTCAAATGTTAAGATTATAGGCATGTGCCACCACACCCTGTGGCTAAATTTTTTGTTTTTGTTGGTTGGTTTTTTGAGACATGGTTTCACTTTGTAGTTCAGGCTTGCCTCCTCAACCTCAAGGCAACCCTCCCCTTCAGTCTCTAGTGCTGCAATTCCGGGTGCTGCCACCAGAACCACACCCATTGAAAGCATCTTTTATAGACTTTAGGAGAAATTGAATGGATTTTTATCTGTTACATCAGTAATTGAATTTTAGGATTGTTTGTAGATCACAGATGTTTTGAAAAAAAAAGTTTCCAATTGAAGTGTGACTTTTTTCTTTTTTAAGAAAAACTAAGAAAATCAGTTGCTCTCTACAGGCTTTACTTAAAGCTACTACATTTTTGAGCAGTTTTTAAATGCCATAAATAATTCGTGATCTGTACAAGTTGTCTGACTAATCTCAGCAATTTTGCACAATGGGTATTAGTGTCCTGTTTTAAAATTAATAAATCAAAGACCAGGGTGATCTTTGTGTGATAAGGTGTACTTTCCTTATACATGTTCTAGTGCTGATTGTGAGCACTGGGGCAGATATCTAAAGTGAAGTGTGTGTCAAGTCTAACTTGACAGCCCCTGGTTTTTATAGTGACTGTACTATAATGCTTCACATTCTCTAAAGTAATTTCTTGTTGATGTATATTTCTCTAGTGACCATGGGATAAATTAATCTTTTTTATTTATTTAGACAAGGTTTTGCTAGGCAGGTCAGGCTGGCCTTGAACTCACTGTGTAGCCCAGGCTGTCTCACTCACAGCATTCCTCCTCCCTCAGTCTTTACGGGCACACAACCTACACGCATTCATCTGACATTTTTAATGAACACCATTTTATGCTGTCAGGGAACGTTCCCAAGATTGAAACCAGATGAAGCCGGGTGTGGTAGCACATACCTGTACTCCCAGCAGTTGAGAGGCTGAGGCAACAGAATTGCCATGTGTTCAAGGCCAGCTTCAGCTACCTAGTGAGACCCTATCTTGGAAGAAAAAAAGAAACCAACCAACCAATCAACCAGGTCGGCTACCTGACCTAATGACTCATTCTTTTTCTTTTCCTTTTTTTTTTCTTTTTTTCTTTTTTATCGGTACCAGGGATCGAACTCACGACCGCCTGCTTGCAAGGCAGGTGCTTATGCCACTGAGCTAAATCCCCGGCCCCAATGACTCATTCTCAATTGAAGGCTCCCTCTCAGATTTATTTGAACACAGAAGAGTGTGATCCCAGCAATCTGTTGTCTTCCAGTATTAATGATATGTAAATACAAACTGAATTATCCCTTTTCTCTTTGCTCTTAGAACTCCAAACAGGTTTTATATTTGACATGTGACTTACGTATTTTCTTTTTCTATTCTTTTCTTTCTTGCTTTTTAAGATAGGCGCTCAGTTTATTACCTAGCCTGGGCTCAAGCAGCCCTCCTGCCTCAGCCTTCCAAGTAACTTGGACTAAGGTCCTGTCAACATACCCAGCTTTAAGCCCTTGCTTTTACCATCATCTAGAGATTGCATTTGATAGTGATATTTTGCTTTTTTATGTTTTGTATTGTCATCTCATGGCCCACTATTGCATCTCGAAGAGAGAAACCATAGTTGGTCAGGGCTTTGGAAACATTCCCTCACATTCTGTCTCCCATATTCTAGAATGCTGTCATCATTTCTACATGTACACTATTGATTGACTCGCATTTGACTTTTTAACCCCAGGTATGCGTTTCTTTCTGTAGCCAGGACTGAGAATATTGTCAGATTCAGTTACAGAACAGTGTTAACAGGGTTGCTATCCATTCGAGTTTGTAAGTTAACAGGACACTAAAGGCGATTGCAAACATGGCTCTCCTCCAACTCAAAAGATTATAGGTTGGGTGGGTACATACTGTCTGCCCATCTGACTCCCCATCTCTGTGTTTCCTGCTAGGTCGTGGTAATCATTAGCTCCAGGGTGTTCTGCCATGTTGACACGAGCTGCTCTAAGGCTTGTTAGGGGGTCCGTGTGCCACACCTGGGCAGAATGGGGTCAGAGGGAACTTCGACTGGGTCAACTTGCTCCTTTCACAACGCTTCACAAGGACAAGCCACTTTCTGATAAAAGAAGGTTGGTGCCCATTACCGTCTTTATTGCTCTTAGAGCAAAACTCCTTCTTTTCCTTTGTTTTAGAATCTGTTAAGCCCCTGGATAAGTCTTTGGACTTGTTGGTAAGAACGCAGAGTTCTACCAAAAACTTTAATTCTTTCTCACTTTCTCTTTATAAATTCAGATCTTCTCTCCTGAATCTCTCTTTTTTTTTTTTAAATCAGGGTCTTGCTGTACAGTTCAACTAGGCCTTGAGCTCACTTTGTAGCCCAGGTTAGCCTCAGACTGATTGTAATCCGCCTGCCCCAGCCTCCTGAGTCCTGGGGTTACAGGCATGGACCATACCTGGTTTCCCTAGTGACTTAAAATGACTTGGACTTTATTCCAGAATAATGTTGAGAGAAGGACCTTTGTTTAAAGATTTGGGGGTTTTGTTTCGTTTTTGCTTTTTTGTGGTACTGGGGATTGAACTCTGGGCCTTCACACTGAACTATATCTCTGTCCTTTTTTAGAATTTTGACACAAATTCTCCTTAAATTGCTAAATTGTTCAGGCTGGGCTCTAATTTGCCACTAATTTCCTCCTGCCTCAGCCTTTGAGAGGGTGCTGGGATTAACAGCATAACCATGCCTAGTTTGAATAAAGAATTTCTCATGCCAGTTATTTTCCTTTTTCTGTCATTTGGGGGGTTTCTTTGCTCTTGTTCTAGTTTTAGTGCTATCCTTAGGGCCTGTTGAGACTCTTTAGGATTGTTTTGATTTAAAAGCAACTTAACTATTACAAGATATATTTTTATCTAGAAAGAGTTGCCTAACTTTGAAGCCATCAGAACCAGTTTTTCTTAAAGGATGATGGATTCAAATCCTCAATTAATTGTGTAAGGTAACTCTAAACTCATATTGAAAATGGAGAGCTGAGCATAATGATGCACATCTACAGTCCCAGCACTGGGGAGGCTGAGGCAGAAGGGTCACTGGGAGTTGAGGCCAGCCTGCGCTACATAGTGAGTTCAGGGATACCCTGAACTACATAGTGAGACTCTGTTTCAAAAAGAAGAATGGAGGGGGTACCCTAAAGCCAGATAATATGCACACATGACGTCTTTTCACACGGTTCACTGTTGCCAAATACTCAGTTATCATCACTGGTTTGAAACAATGATCTGTAAGTTCTTTCTGAACAATGAGAATATTTCTCTCTCTACCCAAATGTCTTTTGTTTCTGAGTTCAGATAGTAAGTTCAGATCATAAAGGATACTGAGTTGTCTACCTCAGCTTGGTTCTCTCTGTGTTGAATAACAAGTATCAAGAGATTGAATGATCAAAGGTTTAACCAGAAATACCTGAATTTGTGGTTTCTGTCCTAGGCGCACAGAATGAAGATAATAAGGGCTACCTAGAATAGCTCACACCTGAGCGGAATGTTAAGCATAGCATCCCTTTACAAACATCTCACTTCTCAAACAACTGGTGGGAGCAGGTCTTATCTCCGCTTTCTGATGAGAAGTTTAGTCACTTGCCCAGGGATGCAGACTTGGTTGTCAGAGTTTAGTCTTAGGCAATCCGACGGCAGTGATGGTGTAATACCCCCTGTATTACTGTGCTATGTGCAGTGTTTTGCTCTAGGGTGTTGCAAAAGTGAAACCAGTGCTGACACCCAAGCTTAGAGAGATT